AAGAGGAAGATGGACAAATGTGCAGTGAAGTTGGGATGATGTCAGGAAGGTGCTTGCCTGTCAGTCTAGCCTGGGGAACAATGGATTGGCTAGCGGGGTAGAGACACTGCAAGCATGTGAAATCTTGACGAATTAATTGGTTGAGCTCCTGGTAATAATCCCCAGACAAAGAGTTCCCTCTCTCTTGCTTCACTCTTGCTCCGTGACCCGAACTCACTTGTCTTCTTGTCACAGTCGTGTGGCCTTAAGCAGCCGCATGGCCCAGGGCCGTGCAGACTCCATGCACAGGATGCTGGACTGGACTGTGCTTTCATAACGGAGCAGAGATTCTGGGCAGTGGCCTTCATTCTTGTCCTGCTGAAGACAAGTTTGGACTTTGCCCACGGCGTGACGGAGAGAAACACAACATTGGAAACCTGGGGGTTCAATTCCATGGAAATAGAGATCACTTGTCCTCCCGTTTGAGTCTCAGGAAATTCTTTTCCTTGCAACATCACAAGAACTCCATTTCCATGGGTAACAGATGGGACACAGAGGATACCCCACTGATAACAATGACACTGGGTGGAATGACCTGTACAGCAAGCCCAGAGAAGCAACATGAAAAAGTTAAGCAGGAGAGAAACCAACCAAGGAGACAGAGAAAGAGTAAAATGGAAGGTGATTTAAAAGCAAAGGAACTGTGGGACTTTGGAAGTAATTGGGGGAGAGAGAAAGTTTCCCAGCAAGGAGCTCTGTTGATTGCTGTGGTCAACTATACTGAATTCTGCTGAGAGTTCAGGAAAATTAAAGCTAGAACAGTGAGCAATGAACCAATAGACATTGTGATTTGATAAGAACCTTTACAGTGACATGGTGGAAACAGAAGTACCATTGGAATGGACTGAAAAGAATGCAAGGTGAGAAAATGGAGATAGCATGTGTAGGCAGATGTTCAAGAAGTTTTGCTAAGAATGGGGAGCTGGAGGAAGATGGGGGATAAAGGGACCATTTTTTTGAAACTATATTTATATTCAGAAGGAAATGATTTGATAGTAAGGGAGAAATAGACAAAGCAAGAAAGAGAAGAGAGAACGGATAATTACAGAGGCTAAGTTTCTGAGTAAGAAATTGGCCTCAGATAGGAGCGAATACACCTCAAAATTGCAGAAATGAAGACAAGGGAACAGATGCTGGTAGGCTAGATGATTTGGTGGTGGGAGGATGAGTTCTTACCTGATTTCATTTTTTTTAAATATATTTTATTGATTTTTTACAGAGAGGAAGGGAGAGAGATAGAGAGTTAGAAACATCGATGAGAGAGAAACATCGATCAGTTGCCTCCAGCACACTCCCCACTGGGGAAGTGCCCACAACCCAGGTACATGCCCTTGACCGGAATCGAACCCGGGACCTTTCAGTCCGCAGGCCGACGCTCTATCCACTGAACCAAACCGGTTTCGGCCTTACCTGAATTCTTACCACCTCAGTTTTCTCTTAATCCTCCATAAACACAAACTCTGTGACAGCAGAAGCATCTATCTTCTGAGCTCTTCAAGAAAATCCTTTTTGGACCAGTTTGTCCTCCTCTTCTGCCAAAGACAAAGCTGGGAAGTGAAAAATGACAAAGGCTTGACCACAGCAAGAGCTGTATCTGTATCTCCTAGTTGGCAGTTATGTTCCCACAGCGACTGGAAGACAGAAGCCTCATGATTATATTCCAAAGGAATGGCTTTCCAGTCTCTGGGAAAGGCTTGTATATGTAACTCCTGAGTTGCAGGAGATACATCTCACAGATAGAAAGACCTCACATTCGTAAGCCCTTTTTAGTCAATGCTCTAAGAAACGGAAGTCAGGGGCCTATGTCTGGTGTTGGGTAGAACAAACAATACATTTTGGGGGCAGCCTTGAGCTTCCTCAGGCAGGAACTTTAAGGTGGGCTAGGGTCATCCTAGGGATGGGGCCTTGCAGCTCTTAGGAACTCTGTTAGCTAAGTCTTTCAATGTGAGGGGAGGGTAGTGGACGAAATCATTTGTGCCGAGAGAATCTGTAGTTTTTATAGGCCAAGGTTGAGACCTACTTGAGGAGACAGCTCAGAGTACTGGCTAGAATTTGTTCCGGGAAGGAATCTTTGTCACTTGCCACCTACCAGGATCACATCATCCTTTAATGTTTAACTCAAAGAAAAAAGTTGCATGCTGTTTTCCCACCTTCCCTGTTCCAGCCAAAGTGATTTCTCTCTTCTGAACTAATAGCACCTGTTCTAGTACTGCTCATGTAGAAAGTTACTGTTGTACCTCTTAGCAAATCTTACTCTCTTATTTTCTCGTGTACCTGCTCATGCATTTGTCTCAGCTACCTGATTAGGTCACAGTTGCCTATAGGAACATTGGGCGAATGCAGTGGTTCTCAACCTTGGCTGCACATTAGAATCACCTGGGAATCTTTTTAAAATCCTGATTTCTGGGCCTCGTCCTCCGGAAATTCTGTTTCTTTGGTATGGGGTGAGGCCACAACATTAGTAACAAAGAAACAGAATTTCCGGAGGACGAGGCCCAGAAATCAGGATTTTAAAAAGATTCCCAGGTGATTCTACTGTGCAGCCAAGGTTGAGAACCACTGCTCTAACATCTTTTTATTACCGTTGCAAGTAATTAGTTGATATTGATAACAGGAAGAGAGCAAAGGGAGGGCCAGACATTGTAAGCATGATCATCTGGGCAGCTTCGCCAAGAAGCTGCAGCTTCAGACACCTCCCTTCCCTGCTCCTGGATTGTTGCGGGGGGGGGGGGGGGGGGGGGGGGGGGGGGGGAGATGAGGGAATGAGTGTATATGCAGTGAAGTTGGGGTGATGTAGGAAAGATGCTTGTCTGTCAGTATAACCTGGCTAGAGGGGCAGAGCCACTGCAAGCACGAAATCCTAAAATGTTCATTGGTTAAGCTCCTGGTTATAACCCCAAGACAAAGGAGTACTCTCTTGTGCTCCTGTTTCTCGCTGGCTCTGTGACCCACACTAGCACATACTTCCTCCGTAGTAAGGTGGCCCAAGAAGCTGTGGGCCATGTGGACCCCACACACAATGGACTGCAGCTGGGAACACAAGCTAAGCTAGCCAGATGCTGGGCTGGACTGTGCTTTAATATGGAGCGAAGGCTCCGGGCCAGTGATGGTGAACCTATGACACGCGTGTCAGAGGTGACACGCAAACTCATTTTTTTGGTTGATTTTTCTTTGTTAAATGGCATTTAAATATATAAAATAAATATCAAAAATATAAGTCTTTGTTTTACTATGGTTGCAAATATCAAAAAATTTCTATATGTGACACGGCACCAGAGTTAAGTTAGGGTTTTTCAAAATGCTGACACGCCGAGCTCAAAAGGTTCGCCATCACTGCTCTGGGCGGTGGCTTTGATCTTAGCTTGCTCAAGATACGGTTGGACTTTTTCCATGGTGGGATGGAGGGAGATTGGACCTTGAAGGGAAACTCCCTTAATTTCACAACATCAATAAAGCTTTCCATGATACCACATCCTCTCATGGGGGCCTCAGGAAATTCTTGTTCCCATGGCACCCCAAGCATCTCACTTCCACCAGTTACAGGTAGGGACACAGAGGGCATACCACCGATAATATTTTTACAGTTAAAGGTTCTGTGCAGCACTTGGTCACATGGAAGAGACTCAATCCAAGTCACAGGGGACCCATGTGCCTTCATTCATTCCAGAAAATTTTAATGGGTCTCACTATTATGCACATCACTTTTCCAAGTTCAATAAGACCCAGCCCCAACTTTTATTCTTGGCTCCCCCATTTCCCCATTAGAGTCCAACAACATACTAGAGAGCTCAAAATACACAGTTGCCTTAAAGCTTTTTAAAAAAACCTAACCCTGTAGAACCCGATCTGTAAGGCAATATTAGAGATGTGTCGGCTACTACACAATTTAAACGTTCATTATTAAAGGATGCCTCAAAGGTAAACAATCATGGGATCACACTCAGGATATATTAAGGAGTTATAACCACAGTGAAACATCACTCACACCCACTAGGATACCTATAATTAACAAGTCTTTGCGAGGATGTGAAGAACCTGGAACCCTTATGCACAGCTGATGGAGATGTAAAATGGTGTGGCCACTTTGGAGAAGAATTGTTTTCCAAATGTTCCAGCCGTGGGCGAACTACGGCCCTCAGGCCAGATCCGGCCCTTTGAAATGAATAAAACTAAAAAAAAAAGACCGTACCCTTTTATGTAACGATGTTTACTTTGAATTTATATCAGTTCACACAAACACTCCATCCATGCTTTTGTTCCGGCCCTCCGGTCCAGTTTAAGAACCCATTGTGGCCCTCGAGTCAAAAAGTTTGCCCACCCCTGGTTTAGACAGAGAGTGACCATATGACCCAGCAATTCCACTCCTAGGTGTGTAGTCAATAGAAATGAACACATATGTCCACATAAAAAACTGGTTCATTGCAGCATTATTCATTATAGCCGAAAAGTAGAAACACCCAGAATTTCTAGTGAATGGATCAACAAAATGTGTCCTATCCATACAGTGGAATACTCTTCAGCAATAAAAAAAGAATGAAGTACTGATGCACAGCTAAGCTTAGGAAGATTATGCTCACTGACAGACGCCAGGCAGAGAAAGGCTGCATATTGTACGATTGCATGTACGTGCCACGTCCAGACTAGGCAACTTCATGGGCAGAAAGCTGATGAGTATTTGCTAGCGTGGGGGAGAGGGACTTGGTGATGCCTGAAGGGTATTAGTTGGGAGGGGTAATAAAAACGTCCCAAAATGACAGTGATGGTTGCACACATCTGTGAATAACTAACAACCCTTGAATGGCACACTTCGAATGGGTGAGTGGCTTGGTGTGTGAGGGATATCTCAGTAAAGTTGTTAAGAGAAAGAGAAGTCTTGCGCCCAATTAGCGTTTCAATTCCCAAAGGCTGCGGGCCCGTGGCCAGCCAAGTGGTATCGGTTAAGGGCCGGCCTCCGCCCGGCGGGGAAAGGTTAAACGCGGAGCCGAGCGCCGGCCGGGAAGCGCGAGCGGCCGGCGTGGAGGCAGGTCCCAGCTGATCTCCGGGCGCCGGCAGCACCCGGGCCGCGCGCCCCCCTCCGCCTGAGTCACGGCGCCCGAGTCCCCACGCGGAGATGCGGTGAGCGCGGCCGGACGCCGCGGGCCGGGGCGCAGCGTGGGCCTCGGGGCCGCCCAGGGCCCCACACGGAAGCCGGCGGGCGGCGCGCTCCCTCCCGGCGGCCTCCAGACCGGCTCCTGCGCGGCGGGCGCCCGCCGCCCTCCATGGCGTTCATCCGGAAGAAGCAGCAGGAGCAGCAGCTGCAGCTCTACTCTAAGGAGCGGTGAGCCCGGGGCCGCGGCGGCCGGGGGGCCGGGGGCCGGGGGGGCTGCGGGCGGAGAGCGAGGGGCCCGGCGTAGCGGCCGCGAGCACCTTCGGCGCCCGGGAGGGGGCCGCGGCCAAGCCCGGCGTCGGGGCGGAGGCCGGGCCTGATCGGGGCTGAGGCCGCCCGGGCAGGCGCCAGGCCGGACCGGAACCCACGGGGAGCCCGACCGGCCCCTGCGGACCCGGCGGCCGCGGCCCGGCTCTCCCGGAAGAGGCCGCGCGGTGCGGGTGCGGGAGCGGGGCGGGCTCCTCGGGGCGCCCTGCACCTGAGCGCCTGGGCTTCCGCGGCGCGCGCCCTGCGTCCCGGGGAAGCGGGGGAGTGGGAGCGAGCTCGGCGGACACCCCGCGTTCTCACTGCACCCCCCCTCCCCCCGCCCCCAGGGAGCCGGGGGAGGTCGCAGCCCCCGCCCGGGCGCCGCGGGGTTCCAGCCGGGCCGCTCGCGGATCGGTGACCCCGAGGCTGCACCGGGGTGGGCTGTAGACCTACCCGCCTAACAGCACGGGCGTTTTGCTGCCGACTTGCACTTGGCTCAGACTTTGTGAGGCAGATGCCCTGCTGGGCCGGGCGGGAGGAGGGCCCCAAACCAGGCCTCATTCTGAGAAAAGCCAGGGTTCCACCCCCACATGTTCTCTCCTAACCGGTGAACCTTACACAGCTTAGTGGGGGGGCACTGCAGTCCCCTCCGCACCCGGGAGGGACTTGGGGTCCCAGGAGGAGCTCAAGGAGCCGCAGGGCAGTGCCCTCTCGGAGTTCCTGATCCTCAGTCTCTGGGGGAAGTGTCTCATAAGAAAGCTCACTTCTGCCCCAAAGTATGCCCCCCAGTGCATTGGTGGCGACCGAAACAACAGGCTCATCCTGGGGCCTGGAGTCCCCGGGGCAGTAGGAAGTGGGGCTGAATTATTTGCCACGTTATTTGAGCAGTGGGAGCTAGTTATGTCGCAGTGCTGCTCACCTGTCACGTTGTGTCCTCAGTTGGACACCAGCAAAGCAGCTGATACATGCAAGCGTAGGCTCCAAGGTCTGTGTGAGCTTGCAGCATCCACGCTTGTTTTACAGGTGTGGCCTGGGCCTGTTTGGTCCAAACGTTCACTTTCCTTTCCAGTCTCTACTGTTGGCCTGGCCAGCATATCCGTAGTCTGAAATTTTGTCCCCCTAAGTGTAGAGAAAGGAGATAAAGATACACCAAAAATCATCTTGGATATGGCTCCCAATAACATTTTGGCAGTGCGATTGGGTTTTATCCGCAGAAAGTCTTGCTTATCCCATCATAGCGGCCATAAAGTACTCACACCTGCAGAGGTTCTTCTGCCTTCGGTTGTAATGCTTGTTTCACGTGGAAAGAGCTCGAATAGAGTTTGTTCTGTAGCAACAGTAGGACATTCTGGTGTTCTGTGTTAAATACGTGAATGTTCACATTTACGTTGTAAGAACTTTGAAGCACTTTGAATTGCCCGTCATGCTCTATGATCTAAGAGTCATTTGTAACAATTCCATTGCCTCGCGGATATACAGGAAAACCTGTTTGCTTTAGATCTGCCAGGTATTTCCATGGCAGTAATTTGAGTTGTATTTGGTTAACTTGTACAGCTCTGCAATGTCACACAAGTCTGCACTTAGTTTCTGTGTATAGTCGGCTTCGTCGGGATTCATTGATCAGATGTGACAGGCTAGCAGCACCCGGTAGAACTAGCTCTCACAACCAAAACATTTATTCATCAGGCAGGAGGCAGCAACTGTTTCTGAGCCCCAGTAGTCTGAAAAAGTTGGTGCCAGGTATTTTATATTTATTTGAAGCCTACTTGCTGACTGCCCTAGTTCTTTTTTAAAAAATATATTTTTATTGATTTCAGAGAGGAAGGGAGAGGGAGAGGGGGACAGAAACATGATAAGAGAGAATCATTGATTAGCTGCCTCCTGCACGCCCCCTACTGGGGATTGAGCCTGCAACCTGGGCATGTGCCCTTGCTGGAATCAAACCCAAGACCCTTCAGTCCGCAGGACGACGTTCTATCCACTGGGCCAAACCGGCTAGGGCTCCCCTAATTCTTTTTTTTTTAAGGTAATCTATTTTTTTTGTGTCTAAAGTTTTACATATGTCTTCTTTTTCCCCAATTGACAACCCCCCCCCCCCCCCAGCCATTCCCACCCCAGGCAAGCCCCCACCGCCTCAGTACCTTTGTCCATTGGATATGCTAATATCCATGCATACAAGTCCTTTGGTTGCTCTCTACCCACCCCATCCCCCTTCCCCTACCATTTGTCTCTGGATCTATTCTTGTTCATCAAATTATGTTGATCCTTATATCCCACATATGAGTGAGATCATGTGATTTTTATCTTTCTCCTACTGGCTTATTTCACTTAGCATAATGCTCCCCAGTTTCATCCATGCTGTTGCAAATGGTAAAAGGTCCTTCTTTTTTTGCAGCGGCATAGTATTCCATTATGTAGACGTACTACAGTATTGTTTTTGTTTTTTTTTTTTTAAATATATTTTATTGATTTTTTACAGAGAGGAAGGGAGAGGGATAGAGAGTTAGAAACATCAGTGAGAGAGAAACATCAATCAGCTGTTTCCTGCACACCCCCTACTGGGGATGTGCCTGCAACCAAGGTATATGCCCTTGACCAGAATCGAACCTGGGACCCTTCAGTTCGCAGGCTGATGCTCTATCCACTGAGCCAAACTGGTTAGGGCTATACCACAGTTTTTTAATCCACTCATGTGCTGATGGGCACTTAGGCTGTTTCCTAATCTTAGCTATTGTAAATTATGCTGCTATGAACATAGGGGTGCATATATTCTTTCTGATTGGTGTTTCTGGTTTCTTGGGATATGTTCCTAGAAGTGGGATCACTGGGTCAAATGGGAGTTCCATTTTTAACTTTTTGAGGAAACTCCATACTGCCTTCCACAGTGGCTGCACCAGTCTGCATTCCCACCAGCAGTGCAGGAGTGTTCCTTTTTCTCCACATCTTCTCCAGCACTTGTCATTTGTTGATTTGTTGATGATAGCCATTCTGACAGGTGTGAGATGGTATCTCATTGTTGTTTTGATTTGCATCTCTCGGATTATTAGTGACTTTGAGCATGTTTTCATGTGTCTCTTGGCCTTTAAATGTCCTCTTTTGAAAAGTGTCTATTTAGATTCTTTGCCCATTTTTTGATTGGATCGTTTATCTTCCTTTTGTTAAGTTGTATGAGTTCCCTGTAAATGTTGGAGATTAAACCCTTATCAGAAATATCATTGGCAAATATGTTCTCCCATACAGTGGGCTTTCTTGTTGTTTTGTTGATGGTTTCTTTTGCTGTGCAGAAGCTTTTTATTTTGATGTAGTCCCATTTGTTTATTTTCTCCTTAGTCTCCATTGCCTTAGGAGCTTTGTCTGTAAAGATATTGCTACGACATATGTCTGCTATTTTGCTGCCTATGGAGTCTTGTAGGATTTTTATGGTTTCCCGTCTTACATTTAAGTCCTTTAGCCATTTTGAGTTTGTTTTGTGTATGGTGTAAGTTGGTGATCTAGTTTCATTTTTTTGCATGTATCTGACCAAATTTCCCAGCACCATTTATTGAAGAGACTGTCTTGACTCCATTGTATGCTCTTGCCTCCTTTGTCAAAAATTGAGCATAATGGCTTGGGTTGATTTCTGGATTCTCTGTTCTGTTCCATTGGTCTATATGTCTGTTCTTGTGCCAGTACCAGGCAGTTTTGAGAACCATGGCTTGGTAATATAGCTTGATATCTGGTATTGTGATCCCTCCAACTTTGTTCTTCTTTCTCAAGATTGCTATGGCTATTCGGGGTCTTTTTTTATTCCAGATGAATTTTTGGAGATTTTGTTCTAAATTTTTAAAATATGCCATTGGTATTTTAATGGGGATTGCATTGAATCTGTAGATTGCTTTAGGTAGTATGTACATTTTAATGATGTTGATTCTGCCAACCCATGAACATGGTATGTTCTTCCATTTGTTTATGTCTTCCTCTATCTCTTTTTTCAATGTCCTGTAGTTTTCCGAGTACAGGTCTTTTCCGTCCTTAGTTAAGTTTATTCCTAGGTATCTTATTTTTTTTGGCGCGATGGTAAATGGGATTTTTTTTTTTCCGCTTCTCTTTCTGTGAGTTCATTATTAGTGTATAAAAAGGCCATAGATTTCTGGGTGTTAATTTTGTATCCTGCTACATTGCCAAATTAATTTACCCTAATTCTTTAATGCTCTCTGCCCCATGGCTTTGCAACTTTGGGATGGGTGGACTTGAACCAGGATGATGTCCTTAGAATATCAGTTTGAATGACAGGAATCTGTCTCACAATCAGATGTGGGCTAGAATCAAGCAGTCTCTTTATAAATCATAGAATTCATGCCTAAAGACAAGAATATTTCAACGAACTTTGTTCAGCCCCAAGTTTACTATTTTTGCACAGATTTTTCATGGCTCAATCCTTTGGTGTCAATAAACACCAATTTGCCGAATGATTGGTATGGGTCATTGGCTCAGGCATATATCCAAGAGAACTGTTACTTTCCTTGAGACTGTTTCATGAAAGGCCTCACCTCTTCAGAGTTATGAGTTCATTGGCCCTTCTCATGCTGCTTTAGAGATTTTAGATTTCTACTGCTATCAAATAGTGACCCCAGCAAAGAAAAAACTTGAAATTAGCATTTATTTCTTTTACTGTTAAGTTGATGCTAGTGCATTTAGAGTAAGTGATGTTTCTGCAAAGTAGAAGCAGAGACTGGCAGATTCTTGGATTGGTGGCTTAGATCAAGGTGGTGGTAGAAGAAATGGAGAAGTGGATGTATTTTTTATATTCTTGGTGTGGTAGATTGTGTAGGAGGTAATACAGGAAGGATCCCAGCTAGAGTTGTAAGATGAACAGTGAATAATCTTTTAGAATAAGTATATCCTGTGCAATATTTGATACATATTTATACTGAAAAATTTTTGTA